ACTTGCACAATATCGCCAAAAAAATAATAAAGCAAAAATTATGACACCATTTGTACAAATTTCAAGATTTGCATGAATTACAATAAAACCAATCAATTTAGAGTTGATATTGCAAGACTGCAATTATGGCTCCATGTAAAGTAGGAAATTGGATCAAACCCAGGAGTACCCTACAGCATAAATCTCAGAAGGTAGAAGAAAAAACTTAGTATGACCCTCTGGATTTGCATGAAAAGAAAGGAGAACATCAAACCCCAGCCTTGCTTGCTTCTTAAGATACTATGGCACATTAGGAATATAGGCGGCCACTTAATAGTGAGTGACCCCATTGCTCCCTCTAGCCCTGTGTTGTCTGTACTGTCAGTGGCTGGAGAAGCTAAGAACTGAACCCTTTTATTCCAGCCCTTTTATTGAATATCCTGCTGGAACAAATACCACTAATATAGCCAAACCAGTTCAAAGGGAAACTTTACCCCATTTGTCCTCAGATCAAGCTTGTCCACTAAAACTAGTACAAATATTATTTTCCATGAGCCAACCAGCATGGATCAACGAACTGTAAGTTATACCATGATTCCTGGAACTGCAATGTTACCAGCTGCACCATTTTCCTCAGGACAGTAAATATTAGACTTGTTCTGGAAATACCATAACTCTTCAAAATTGTTTTCCTTATGAACAATGCAATGACTCCATTAATGGAACAAAGCACCGCCAACCTGAGAGATACATTTAGAGTATGTGACTGCCCCATATATAGAATAAGTGGCCCACAGGTAAACAGCCTGCTTGCCAAAACCAGTAAAGAAACAGGGCTTGAGAGAGCAGTTACAGGGAGTCAGGATCCTTAAGTCCTCTGTTACAGAAAAAAACAAAAAAGCTGCCCTGACTCTTCCAAAAACCACTAGGGACACTGCCCTCATGCTGCAGGCAACTGTTGGCACCAGAAGTAATCTTCAGTCATCCCACCTCATGTACCTGAGTTGGGTTTTAGGTGGAAAAACTGCTCAGAAAATGTAGGCCCTAAAGAACCATCTTTACTCTCAGACTTTAATGTAAGGGAAACTCATCTTTCACAGTCCAAGGGATTGCAGTGAGGGAGGCAGCTGGCATGGCTCTTTTGAGTCCAAAGGGCAGCTGCAATGAAGGGGATAATCAAAAAGCAAGTGCATGTTCTTCATGAAACAATGCACTGCAGTTAGACCACATGTGAATCTGGATGCAGTTCAGGCCTGCACAGATTAATTTGTGGCATCCGATCCAGTGTATTATCAAGTACAGAAAGCTTTTGGCTCTTGCCTCTTGGCAGAGCAGCGGAACGGCAGAGGCAGAGGCTGGGAGAGGGTGCTGAGTGGCCAGGGGACTGGCGAAGGCAAGGTAGGAGCTGGGCAGGGGAGCAGAGGGCCAGGAGCAGCGGAGAGGAAGGGGGCGGGGCCAGAGAGGCCAGAGGGGCCAGGAGGAAGCAGGGGGCGGGGCCACTGGCCTGCGGGGCTGATAAGGCGTTGTCCCTTGTCTGCGTCCCTTACCTGTGACCCGGACTGCCCGGGGACTCCCTTCCCTGGGGGGCTGAGGGTTTTGGTTTCTTTGCTTTTGTTTTATTGTTTTTTGTTTCATTGCTTTGTTTATCTTTCTTTGTTTTGTTTTGGGGTTTTTGTTGTTGTTGCTGTGCTGTGCTTTCCTTTGTTTTTCCTTCAATTTAAATTTTATTTTATCCTTGCATGTGTGTGTGGGTTTTTGTCTGGGAGAACTGGGCGAGTGAGGAGTACTGCTGGACAGACAAGGCGGGGGACCAAGGTAGGGTCTCGGAAGAGTTCCCAATGGCAGACCAGGAGAGGGCCTTGGCAGGAATCATGGGTGTTGCTGTCCGCTGCAACAACTGCGACATGTTTGCCCTTCTCCCCCAGGAGAGTCAGGGTTACACTTGCCCTCGGTGTAAGCTGATGGTCCTGCTAGAGGAGGAGTTGAGGTGCCTGAGGGCTGAGAGAGCTCTCCAGGCCCCCCCGGGGGCAGCCCCCTCTGGACAGAGGGTTGAGGGAGAGGCCACGGGAGGAGCACCCGAGGAGACATGGAGGCATGTCACCCACAGGAGGAGGAGGCCAGCATGGCCTCCTCCTTCTCCTGGCACCAACCTGGAGCTGGGAAACAGGTTCTCTCTGCTTGAAGAGCCTGGGGCTGGTGAGACCTCGGGGGACCAGCAGCACCCCCAGCCTGGGACCATAAGCAGCAAGGGGGCCACTGCAGGAGAGGCGAGGGCCAGGGCACGGCCACCCACCACCACCAGGAAGACACGGCGGTGGGTGATTGTTGTTGGGGACTCCCTGCTGAGGGGCACTGAGACAGCAGTGTGCCGCCCGAACCTGGAGACAAGGGAGGTTTGCTGCCTGCCGGGCGCATGCATCCGGCATGTGAAGGATAGAGTGGAGCGTCTTGTTCGCTCCAGGGGTCACCAGCCGCTCCTGATGATCCATGTGGGCACAAACGACGTAGCCAGGCAGGGTGTGGTCGGGATCACCAGGGACTTCGAGGCCTTGGGGAAGAAACTCAGGGAGCTAAAGGCCCAAGTGGCCTTCTCATCGATCTTACCAGTCTGGGGATTTGGGCCAGGCAGGGACAGGAGGGTCTCCGAGGTGAACGATTGGCTTAGGGTGTGGTGCCAGAAGGAACACTTCGAATTCCTCGACCACGGCACCCGGTTTCTTGCCAATGAACTTCTGGCAAGGGATGGGTTGCACCTCATGAGGATGGGAAAAAGGTCCTTTGGAGATGCTCTAGCGAGCTTCATCCGGAAGACTTTAAACTGAGCCGGGGGGGGGGGGGTTCAGGCCCCCCAGAAAGGTGTCTGCACTGGACAAGTGTGGGGAGAGGATCAGGGCTCTGGGAGCAGGGTTTTAGAGGTACTGCAGGGACTGAAAGGACTCCTACAGAGAGGGGCCAGGTATCAGGGAGGATGGGAGGAAGGAGGAGGCTGGGAACTCCAAGGAAAGGAAGTGGTGGAAAGGAGTTGAGGTGCATGAACACTAATGCTAGGAGCATGGGTAATAAGCAGGAAGAGCTTGAAGCTCTCCTGGGAATAGGAGGGTATGACCTGGTGGGAATCACAGAAACTTGGTGGGATGAAAGACAAGACTGGAATGTGAACATAAAGGGGTATCACCTTTTTAGAAAGGACAGGAAGGGAAAGAGGGGTGGGGGCGTGGCTTTATACGTCAGGGAAGGGATAGGATGCAGTGAGATAGAATGCAGCACAGATGGGGATTTGGTAGAGGCAGTGTGGGTGAAACTTAGGGGTTTTGACAGGGAAAGAGACCTGACAGTGGGGGTATGTTATTGCCCTCCAGGTCAACTTGAGACCCTGGATGATGTCCTGACAGGCCAGATTCTAAGGATATCTCGGGGGAGAGACACAGGGAAATTTCAATCTTCCAGATATTAGTTGGGAGACTCACTCAGCAGTGACAGCCAGGTCACATCGCTTCCTAGAAGCTATAGAGGGAGAGTGTTTACACAGAGGGTCTGACAGGAGACCGGGGGGGGGGGCATCCTTGACTTGGTCTTGACCAATAGAGAGGAGCTGATAAATTATGTATGGATTAGGGGAGCTCTGGATGCAAGTGATCACTCCATCCTTTGCTTTGAGATCAGGGGACTGGGGACATGCAGCAGGTCGAACACTAGAAGCTGGGACTTCAAGAGGGCCAACTTTGGCCAACTGAAGGCCAGACTGGGGATAGTCTCCTGGGATAGGTTACTGGAAGGTAAGCAAGTTGAGGAGGGGTGGATGGCACTCAAAAGGGAGGTTTTGGAGGCGCAAGCCTTGACGATACTAGTTAGTAAGGTGGGGAGGCGGAGGAGAGCACTGCTCAGTTTTGGGCCCCTTGTTACAGAAAGGATATAGCCATGTTGGAGTCAGTGCAGCATAGGGCCACAAGGTTGGTGGCCGGTTTGCAGGGGATGGGGTATGAGGCGAGACTGAGGGAACTGGGTCTCTTCAGCCTGGAGGAGACTCAGACGGGATCTGTTGGCGACATACAGGTGTATGAGGGGATGCCACACAGAGGTGGGTAGAGGCCTGTTCTCCCCTGCAGAGGAAGGCAGGACGTGCTCCAATGAAGCAAAGCTCAGTTCCATTTAGATACCAGGAAGCACTTCCTGACCATTCGGACCCCGAGGGTGAGGAATGGGCTTCCACGAGAGGTCATTGAGGCCCCATCGGTGAGGGTGTTCAAGGATAGGCTAGACATACACATGGTGGGGATGTCGTGAGCAGAGATGGCTGGAGCCAGGGTTCAGACTAGATAGCCCAGGAGGCCCCTTCTGCCTTGCTCTGTTTCTATGTTATTTTCATCATTTCACTGAGGAAGTAAGAGAAGAAATAATGTACCCCTTTGAGCTTTGTCCTCCTTATATTCCATCTTAGAATTATTTGCAGGGATGCCAACACCCTTTGTCCCACCATTTCAGTACTTTGGCTTGACCCTGGAACAGAACCAGAGGGAGGGACAAGTAAAGAGGAACAGCTTTTCTTCTTTATACATTAATAGCCATCACTCATTTCCATAAGGAGGAAGAAGTTGTATGCTGAATGTAGGAATAATATGGCAGTGGGGCAAAATACTCTGCAGCTAGCCCCAAAGTGTGTTTGACGTGGGTTTCTAGAGGAAGATATTGGCAAAATATCTGAGCATGATTGTCCATAACATCTCTAATATTAAAGTTTCGTGTGTGTGTGTGTGTGTGTGTGTGTGTGTGTGTGTGTGAGAGAGAGAGAGAGAGAGAGAGAGAGAGAGAGAGAGAGAGAGAGAGAGAGAGAGAGAGAGAGAGAGAGTGTGTGTGTGTGTGTGTGTTCAGGTAAGAAATAGTTGCCACATTACATACCAGTGCAGGATGTAATTACTAAGAAAGGTGATGATGGTACAACAGGTATCTATTTAGAGTCACATTGCTCATTGCACTGAGCTGCATAATTGGCCATTAGAAACCCTAACAAATGTTAGACGTACCTTTATGCCGGTCATGTTTTTTCCTGAGGACTTGCAAGTTTTCTTCTGGCACTGGGTCATCGCTCTGTCAAAAATATTTTTTAATTGCATAATTATATGTATTATCCAGCATACTAATGGCAATGCTGATACTTTCTGGTTCTATACCCCATACTTCCATCCATTTTTAATAAAATCCACCACAGATTCTCTGTGTTTGTGCTCAGGGGATTAGTTTATGGTATTTGCATGAAGGGTAGTCAAGCTGCAGCACTGAGAATCCCATTCCACCTGCACTGTTTCTGTTATATTTGTAGGATCCACTGCTTGTGAATAGGGGTTTTTACATTTCTAAAAGTCACCCTGGAAGAATGTGCAAATACTCATTTCAGAATTGGGAAAATTAAGTGGAGCTTCCTTCTGAGAACAGCAAAATCCTGGTTGTACAAGGGGTAGATTCCACAAAAGCACAGCACAAAAATATACTGTAATTTATTTATTGTGTTTCTCTCTGCCTTTATACTATCCATTGTACCCTAGATAAGATCTGGACTACAATTCCCCAAATCTTTCCACTGTCTGTGTTGGCTGGGGCTAATGGCAGTTCTTCTCCAAAACATCTGGAAAGTACCAGGTAGCCACCTCGGATTATATCCTATGGCAAATATAGGATATAATCCTATGGCTGCAGCTGATGCATCCTCCTCCTTTCCACTAAGGAATTCATGACGACACACATGGTTCTTTCCAACCAGTGAGGTAGGTTAGGCTAGCAGTAGGCAGGACCAAGATTAGCAGGAAAGCTTCCTGAGTGAGGATCTGGGCTTGGGTCTCCTCGGTCCAGGTCCAGCATTCTAATCACTGTACCTTCACAGTATCCCCCCCCCCCATTTTTTAAAAGGTAAACATGAGAAGAGAGGTGCTAAGAAGAACCAAGACAGGTATTCTTTGAGTGATCATCTATGCACTATCACAGGTGAGTTCTATGCCTACGGAGAGCAAACTCCAGGATCCTTTTAGTACTCTAAGAAAGGAGCGGGCCCTCCTGCCCACTCTTCTTGTAAGAAGAGATGTGACTTCCTGCACATGCCTTAAGCAGCATCTTTGCCTTCTGTTCCTTTATAACCTCAGTGAATTATGTCCTTTCTGAAAATGAGAAACACCTGTAAAATGCAAGAACAGCAGGTTGCTGCATTGCACAGATGGCTATTTGAAGCATGCAAGTTACTGGCTATTGGCTTGTATTTCTTTTGCATGGTCTCTAGGATGACACGCATGTGAAACTGGCTGGTCTCTTATAGTCTCTTCTCTCAAGAATGCTAGGTATGACCAGAGCATGGTGCTTCCTAAAGGGAGGCAGAGGTGATCACACTGCAGCTTTGCATAAGCAGAGTAAGAATCCCACTGGAAAAGGCAGTGGAAGTAGCTATGTTTCTGATGGAAAGCAGCACGATGGCAATTGCACTGTTACACTGTAATGAAGGATCACAGCTGCAACCACCAAGAAGAAGAACCTTTTGGGGAAGATGAGGTGAAACTTCTTGAGATCACAGCAGCAGAGAGAAAAATAGCAACCTTGCTGAAGACAATTGTCCTGAAGACACTATACCCTGTAAATGTTTAATGTATCATCTTCAAGGGATACAAGAAAACGGATTGTCATGACAGAAACGGGAAGTTCATTGGGATAAAAAAGAAATACCAAGAAGAATGGGGTCATAATACCTGGAACAAGGTGTGGCAGCCATCCCTGCTGATGCATCTTGCACAAGCATTTTATGTGGACAGCTGTGAAAGATTTTGTGCATACCTTGGCTCAGTCATCAATTCAAAGGGAAATTGCTGACAAGAAATTTGAAGACTGAGACTTGGAAGGGCAGCAATGAATAAACTAGAAAAGATAATCAGCTGTAAGGGTGAGACCAAGGTTAAGATTATGCACATCATTATATTCCCAATCACTATGTAAGAGTGTGAACACTGGACAGTGAAGAAAGCTTCCAGGAAGAGAATTGATGCATTTGAAACACGGTGCTGGAGAAATGATTTGTGAATATCCAGTACTGACAGAAAACAAGTGGGTACTAGATAAAATCATGCCAGATCTTTCCTTAGAAGCAAAAATGACAAAACTGAGGCTGTCATAGTTTGGGCATGTTATGAGAAGGCAAAATTCCCTCAAGAGGACAGTTGTCTTCTAGGGAGAGTCAAAAGCAGAAGAAGAAAAAGAAGACCAAATATGAGATGGGCTGATTGCATAAAGGAAGCCATAGCCTTGAACTTAAAACAGCTAAGCAGGGATGTCATCAATAGGACATTCAGGAGAGCTTTCATTCATAAGGACACCATAAACAGGAGATGACTTGACGGCAGATAACAACAACAACAGATAAAGCATTGGTGGGGTGGGGTGGGGTGGGGCAGCTGATAAGAACTGGCACATGTCCACAGTCCAAACCTCATGCCCTCCCAACTCTGGCATGCCTCTTTTTTCCTACTCCAAGGCTCAGTTGCAACCTTGGCAAAGGAGCTGGTGCAGTTCTTTCTGCACCAGCTATGAAGGGGACAGAGCAGAGCTGGAACTCTGAATAATCCTATGCCCTCCCAGATAATGGTCCACCCAGGAACACTTATAAGAGCATGCACTCCATGGAAGTAAGGAACAGTGTTTCTGGGACAGCTTAGTTTTCCTCTTCTTATAGTGGGGCAGCAAGGTAAAAATAGGAGGAGGAAAGCATGGACTATGGACTGTGACTGCTAGGAAGTGAAGTGGAAACACAACCAAAGATGCAGAATTGTGGAGGTTGAGTTTCTGCATTCTCAGACATAGAGTGTTAGAGGAGAACAACACACTAGCTATAAATGCATATGATTCTGATCGCTACTGCTATTAAAGTACAACAGCTTTGATAAAGGACAATTTAGAACTGAGAGGCCTGAGCAAGAAGTGCTCTCCCACCTTGGAGTTCCAGAAGCATATTGCATATTGCACAGGGAATTTTGACAGGGAGTGGAAGATGTGATGTGAGGAGATGTGGCAGAAAAGCAGCTGGGGCAGAAAGGGCACAGATACACACAGGTCACTTTTCTGTCCTAAACTGAAGCTGATTTGACCGAACAGAAACAGCTGTTGTTTTATGTGTGTATAATGTGTGACAAACTGGAACTTTGGTTCTTGGATGTTAGAAACGTATTTTAAATAAAATAAAATTTAAAAAGTCCTTTGATCAAAACTTTTCTAGAATGTTTTCAGTCACAAAAGTATTTCTGGAATGACCCTTAAAAGTTTCACTGACATATTATTAACACTTAGCCCTGAGTGCTGTGGCCCTTTTTATATTCCTTTTATAGATGTTTAATTTGTTGTGTTTTAATAAGTTTTTAATGTGTTTTATTTTGTTTTAATATGTTTATGTGCTGTAAGCTGCCTAGGAAGGCCTCAGCAGTTATAGGCAACCCATACATACATGTATAAATAAATAAATAAATAAATATTAACATTTATTTAATTGAAGTCTTCAGAAATACAGCCCACAGTGGCAGCCATGGTCACTGCCAGCACAGTCCGATGCAGAAAGAAAGGTCACTGAGATCAGTGAAGCTTATTCCCCAGCAAGTATGCCTACAACTGCAGCTTTGGTCATATCAAGCTTAGTATCTTTATCTCCAAAGATTCAGCACCAAACATCTTGTTAGCACTAGATGAAACTTTATGTGGCAGCAATGCTAGTGTTACTGTCAGAAAGCAATATGAGCTAGAACACAACGAAACTAGCCCTGTTTTGGATACCCTGAGAATTCTGCCTTACAAGCGTTGGAATGCATATGTGCCTGATGTCATGAGGAAGCTGGTGCACTGTGGCTTCTTAAAGGACTTGATGGTGCCTTACTGGAAGATTTAAGCACTGAAAAGGAGGCAAGTGTTTAGCTCTTCATTACCATTTTTTTCCTAGTGGATGATGATTTCATTAGGACTGGGGGCCTTTCCCTCTTATTGTCTTCACCTAGAAATCAAAGCCAACATACACTTTATCATACAATTTCCTCAGTAAGTTAGTGCAAAATCAACAGTTATAAAGATAGGCCAGAACTGTTCCAGCTCTTGACACTTCAGGAGGGCACATCAGCACAAAATTGGTTCTAAATCAACAGAGCCTGTCAGAAATACTTTTACACTTCTCTTAAAAGTCACCATAGGAAGGACTTGGAACCATCTAACAAACACACAGCACTGCAAAATTGAGATTTAGGGAATTTCACCCCCTACAGAACACACCTCTCTGTTTTCATATTCTTTAAATTACTTAGTTGTATGCTTATTTTCAAAGGTAGCATAAGCCTTTTCTTTGCTGGTCTTACTCCTTGTAGCGTGACGATTCTGCCACAGCAGCCTAAGAGTGTTCCAGTATTACTGGCTTCCAACTTCCCTTTTCCTCTCTGCACTCTTAGGAGGCATGTCAAGGAGCTACCTAGTCCTCCCACTCCGGCATCTAATGAAACCTCACTTTGGGTTTATTTCATTTTAAATACTGTATTTCCATTTCCTCTTTTCTGCCACAGAAGACACCATGTTCACACTGAGACTCTCTTTGACATTCATGTACCTAAAACTCTCCTTTGTCCTCGTTTATAAAGACTTGTCTTTAAACTGTGGCTCTTGTTTCTACTTCCTGTGGATTTCTAATGACGTGCATTCTATTATTCTTCTGAGGCTGGGAACTGAAACAAGAAGGAGTTCATACCCTTTGGTGTAGCTTCCGAAAGACCATGGAACAGATTATCAAGCATACTCTTGGGCAGTTGGTATGGCTGCCTTACCAACTTAAGTTAAATTGTCTGCCATCAAAGATCAGAGTATTTTGAGAAAAGGAAATTATCTGCAAGCTGCTGGTGGTAGCAGAAGGCTATGAAAGGCAGATGGCTTACCTGTAACTGTCGTTCTTTGAGTGGTCATCCATGCATTCACACCTATGGGCTTGCCATGGAGCGCAAGGCCTCGATAGGAGTAAACTTCCAAAGCTCAGTGCCATGGAGTGGGTGGGAGTCCGGCATGCCCCCTATGCAGGTAGCGGGGGGTGGGGGGCTTTCGCCCAGTCCCTCAGTTGCCTGAAGACCACGCTGTCCCAGGCATGCGAGGGATCCGAGAAACCTGTGAAGGATACAGCGGTGACTGCACCCTGCCCGAGCCCATGCCGGGCTAGAAGCTGATGATAGCCAGCGGGGTGGAGGGTGGGTTGTGTGAATGCATGGATGACCACTCAAAGAATGACAGTTACAGGTAAGCAACCTGCCTTTCTTCTTTGTGATTTCCATGCAATCACACCTACGGGCAACTAGCAAAGGAGGAGGGGCTATCATCACGGAAAAATTGAAGTTCCAAAGGCACAGTCCTGTTTGACATGGATGTCTAGCTGGTAGTGGCGGATGAAGGTTCAGGGCATGGAACACGTCGCAGCCTTCCAGACTTTTTGGAGTGAGATACCAGCTAGCAGTGCAGTGAATGAGGCTTGAGTACGTGTGGAGTGAGTGCGTGGCAGTCCATTAGCGGAATTTTTGCCATCTTGTAGGCAAGAGACAAGGTGCTGGAGACCTACTTAGGAAGTCTTTGGCTGGAGACAGGTTCACCAACTCTGGGATCTCAGAGCAGCGGAAAGGCTCAGTCTGGGCTCTGTAGAAGGTGAGGGCCCTCCTGACACTGAGGAGGTGGAGGGTGGCCTCGATGAGGGTGGATGGGTTGGGGAAGAAGGTGGGAAGGACAACATCCTGGTTGACATGGAAAGGGGACGTCACCTTGGGGGCAAAGCGTGGGTCAGGGTGGAGGATGACCTTGTCCTTGTGAAACGTGGTGAAGGGGGTGTTGATCTGCAGGGCAGCTAGTTCACTGGCACAGCGAGCAGATGCGGTAGCTGCCAGGAACACAGTCTTCCAGGAGAGAAGGTGGAGGTCTGACATGGCCATGGGCTCGAAGAACCTCCTCGTGAGGGATTGTAAAACCACAGAGAGGCTCCAGGGGGGAGTGCGAGGTCAGCCAGGTGGAGCCAAGTTCCAGATGCCCCTAAGAAAGTGGCTTGCCAGGGGGTAGGCAAACACCGAGGACCCTTGGATGGGGGGGGGTGAAAGTGAGAGATGGCTGCTAGGTGGACCTTGATAGAGGAGGGGGAGACCCCCACGGCAAAGCAGGACTGTAGGTATACCATGATGTCGTCAATGGAGTTGGAGGGGGGCTCAGGGCCCTGTGCTGCAGCTGAGGCTGCGAAGCCTCTCCGCTTTGCCAGGTAGAATTGGCACGTGGAGGGCTTTAGGGCGGTATGTAGGATGGCACTGACTACCAGGGGGAGGGAGCCATAAAGGTTGGTCGGGGTGATCTTCCAGGCCGTCAGGCGGAGGGTCCTGAAGTCGGGGTGCAGGACCCTGCCCTGGTCCTGTGAGAGCAGGTTTGGGAGGGAGGGCAGGTGGTAGAACCTGTTCCCTGACAGGCAAAGGAGAAGGGGGACCAGGGTTATCTTGGACACCAAGGAGTGACGAGGATGCAGCTGATCCTGTGTCTCTGGAGCTTGGCCACCACCCTGGTGATCAGGGGAAAGGGAGGGAAAGCATAGAGGAAGTTCTCCTCCCACCTGAGGAGAAAGTTGTTCCCCAGGGACCCCCTGCCCTGTCCTGCTCTGGAGCAGAACAGGTCACATTTGGTATTCTTGGGAGTGGCAAAGAGATCGATCTTGGGGTGCCCCCATTTGTCGCACACTGTGCAAAAAGTGGAGGCTTCCAGCTCCCACTCGTGTGGGTGAGCAGCGCAGCACATCCACTAGGGTGTTGAGGCGCCCTGCCACATGAACAGCTATGATGACAATGCCCTTCTGGAGGCACCAGTGCCCGGTGGAGGTCAACAGAGTCACAAAACAGGCGGGGTACGTTCCCCCTTGTTTGTTCAGGTAGTACATGACAGTGGTGTTGTCTGTGGCTACCTGAACGTGGTGCCCTGACAGGGTGTCTTGGAAGGACATGAGGGCCTTCTGGACTGCCAGTATCTCCAGCATGTTGATGTGGAGCGGGGCCTCGCTCTGGTCCCAGTGTCCTTGTGTGTGCACGTCTGGGGAGTGGGCGCCCCAGCCTGTGTTGGACGCGTTGGTGGTGACAGTCATGGATGGCTGGAGCAGGGGCGGGAGGGCATGCCTGTTGTGAGGTTGGTGGCGCCGCTCTACCAGCAGAGGGTCTCCCTGACCGCCGTGGGTGGGGCTGGGGGGGAGTTCTGTGGAGATCTTCGTCCCACACGAAGGCTTCCATGAACCATAGCTGGAGAGGTCTCATGTGGAGCCTTGCGAGCTGCAGCACTGATACTGTGGCAGCCATGAGGCCCAGCAGCTTCTGGATGGTGTGGGCACTAGAGAGAGGTGCGGCCCTGATGGACGTGGCTGGTGAGGCGAGGGTTTCTGCTCTTGGCTGAGGTAGGAAGGCTTTGGCAAGGGTAGCGTCCAGGCAAACCCCTATGAAGAGTGTGGACTGTGTGGGGGAGCCCAAGGTCCTGTAGGAGGTGGCGTGTGGTAGCTAGGCCACACAACAGGTCCTCCCTGGAGGGGGCCACGAGAAGCCGGTCATCCAGGTATGGAAAGATCTGGACACCCTGGAGCCTGAGGTGGGCACAGACGACTGCCACACATTTGGTGAATATGCGGGGAGCTGTGGCAAGGCCAAAAGGGAGGACGCAGAACTGGAAGACCTGCTTGTCAGTTTGGAAACACAGGAAGTGCCTCTGTTTTGGGTGGATGGAAATAGGCATCCTTTAGGACGATGGAGGTGAACCAGTCTCCTTGGTTAATGAGAGGGAGGATGCCCTGGAGTGCGACCATTCCAAATTTTTTGGGGATGATGAACTTGTTCACTGCCCTTAGGTCCAGGATAGGCCTTAGAGTCCAGTCCCATTTGGGTACTGTGAAGTACCTGAAGCCCCTGCGGGCTGACGGGGGACACACGCTCCATCGCCCCTTTATCCAGCAGGGCCTGGACTTCTGCCTGAAGGGTGGGAGATGGTGTAGTGGTCTTGACATGACCAAGAAGCAGTAGAGTATCAAATTCAATCTTGCACCCCAACTGAATGATGGCTAGAACCCAGGAGTCAGAGGAAATGGCCTCCCAAGCTGAGAGGTACTGTGCTAGTTGGTCTGTGAAGCAGGTTGCAGGGGGGGCGGGGCTGCCTGGACTAGAACATCAACGCCTGCGCCTGGTATCCTGGCGCTTCAGTGGGAGCCTCTGGTGGGGTTGAGAGTCCCGGTTCTTGTTGGCAAATGGCACTCTGGGGTGCGTGGAACAGTCAGGCAACGGGCGGTGGCTGGGGGTCATGGGGGTTCCGTGCCATCTCCTTTGCACTGAGCTCTGGCCAAAGCCCATGCACTTGGCAGTGGTGTGAGCTTTATGGAGGGAGTCCATATTTCCATCTGCATGTGCATTAAAGAGGCCTTCGCCATCGAAGGGCAGGTCCTCAAACCCTGGAAGGGGGGGGCCTGGTGTGTCTGTCGGCTCCGTGGTGAGGCAGCATCGCCCGCGGGTGCCAGAAGCAAATGGCAGTCCCTTGAAGGGGTGGAAGTACAGGTGGTAGTCCCCACCATAGGGATGGCGGCCAGACCCCGTGCTGGCAGCGTCTCAGGCATGGGCGGTGATGCCGAGGGGCACGTGTCCGGAGAATCCAGGACAAGGACCAAGGACCGGCGTCCATGGGCAGTCCTGGGTGACTTCTGGTGCCGGGGGGCAGGCTCCTTTGTGGTGTAGCACCTCTTACTCTTTGCTGGAGTCGCAGTGCCAGAGGGGCCCTCACCTGGCGGGGCTGCTCTGCGGGGCTTGGAAGTGCCCTCAGCGGAGGGGGGGAGCTGTTGGCCCTGGAGGGGTCAATGGTCGTAAGAGCCCTCTGCCATGAGGCCTGCCGGAGGCGCATGGCCCGCTGCTGCAGCATCTGTTTTTTTAAAGGCCTGGCAGTGCAGGCAGGTCTCTACAATGCGCCCCTTGCCAAGGCAGGGGAGGCACTTGGGATGCCCGTTGTTGGCGGGTATTCAGGCTGCGCAGAAGGCGCAGCGGCGTAGGGAGGAATCAACCATGTGGTTCAAAAAGGAATGCACATGGTGGAGGGAAAACGGGAGGAGGAGAAATCCCAGAGGGGTTTTCACAGGATGGGACGGAGAGAGAGAGGTGGCAGGCTTCTCTTTCCAGGGATTGGTAAGTAAAGGTGCGATTTTTTATTTTTTAGAAAGAGAAGAGAGAAAAAAGGAAAAAAGAAAAGCAATGGAGAACCAGGAGAGTGGAGCAAGCGGAAGGTTCAATCTGAGGTGGCTCAAAGCACGGTCGAAAAGGAACTGAGGTACTGGGCGGGAGCCCCCCCTCCCACCTTTATGCTACCTGTGTAGGGGGTGGGGGTGGGGCTTCTGCCCACTCTGTGGCGCCAAGCTTTGGAAGTTTGCTCTGACTGAGGCCTTGCACTCCACGGCAAGCGCATAGGACCATAAAGAAGAAGGGTTTTGTTTTAGTTTTTGACAAGCAAGACAAAGAAGTGCCATTTGTTGAGTCCCAGCCATAAAGCGTCACCACTGGAAGCTATTCAATATTAAAATTAGAGAAATCGGTATTGACTCAGCAGGGACTCACTTCCATTGATGCTTTGCCTCCAACAAAACCGCCCTGCTAAGTTTTCATTGGTGTATTATGGCACTCTTGAGTTGTTCAGGGTCTAGATAAAAATATACTTTGTATCTAAGAGCACTGTGTAACCTTATGTGCACAATTGTTTGATAGATGGTTTCAATAATAGGGGCTGTGAGCATGCAAGTCTCCAATACACCTGCTCAAAATAGCTGTTTAAGGCATGGCAGAACCATCAGAAGGAAAGCAACGTACAACTGAATTGTAGTGGCAGAGGCAGTGAGCAAAGCACCCCCTTTCTTGAGAGCAACTGGAACGAAAATAAAGATTAGACCGGCAGGGAGGACTCTGTTGCTGTCAACTACCAGACCCAAAAGATTCTGCTTGGGGCGGCATAAAAATGTTCTAATAAATAAAAATAAATAAATAAAATAGTTGCAGATCCATTGCCAGGAGCAGAAACACATACACACAACTATGCCTCAAAAAGAAACTTACCATAAAAACTGGCCTTCTTGCCTGGAGCATGGTTGGGACAAAACACTCTAACACAGTGGAAAGAAGACGAGAAAAATGCAATTGTATTAATACGGAATGAATGGAATTATTAGCAAAACAAATACAAAGGCAATGTGACTAGTAGGGAAAGGCATTCATTCTGGAGGAACAAGGTTCCACACTTGTGGGTTCGTATCCTGCGAGGAGCAGGACTCAGAGTGCTTGGCAAGCTAGGTGATGAGGTGAGCGCCTCGCCTCACCCAGGAGGCAGGCTCTAACACTTCTTTATTTGCGTGTGAGATACCTATTTCTATACCGCTACCTGTTTTGAAAAATCCCTAAGTGGTTTGTGTATATTCAAATAACATTCAAACCATTTGTATTAAAACCATATTTAAAATACAATTTTGAAAATTCCCATTACAACCATAAGGAAAAGCAATATTTGCTACAGTACCAGAGCAGTGCATTGGAGAGTCATGGTGGATTATAAGCTCGGTGAATCAATGCATTTGCGGGAGCCATGTTAAAGATGTCACATTTTCTGCCTCCCAAACTTCACAAAGGAGTTTTCTTCACAGGATGGATGAGTGACATTTTGATGATTTTGAAATGACAGCAAGCCCTCCTCTGATGATCTTAAACATCAGTTGCTCAAAAGGGCTTTCTGCTGGCAGGTAACAGCAAATGAGGCAGTGGGCTCAATGCTTTCTCTCAGCCAGTAATCTCCACTCTGCTCAGCTCTTCAGTTGTTTCTTTAAGGGGAAAGGCATTCCCCCACCCAAAGACTGGACTAGAGGAATAGTCCAGTCAATCCTATAGATCGTTACCTGGGGGTGCCAAGAAAGCAACTTTAAACAAGCAAACCAAAAATTAAAAAAAAAAAATGAAGGGAACTAAGAGAGGAGAAAACACCCCAAAGAGTCCTACATACTGCCCTCATGTAAACTCCTCTAGGTGCCCCTTTCAAATAAGGTGTGGCAAGTATCCACTGCAGGCCTTTTCAGGTGTGGCATCCTCCCCAGACTGGTTTGCATGATTTTGTAGATCTTTCAGCATCAGCAAATACCTTTTTATTTTCTTAGGCATTCTAGTTCTTTAGCTTTGTTTTTAAATTTGTGTGTATTTTCAGATATTTCTCTGTTACTGCTTTTTACTCTAGTTTTACTTATTATTTTAATATGAAAAGGTTCTAATGACTTCATAGTGTACTTTAGGAGTTTAGTTTTTGTGAACCACTCAGAATGCTTTGACTATTGAGCCAAACAGAAATATCATACATGCCAGACAGAAACCTTAGCATGGGTAAATTCTGTGGTCAAGAGTGAGGGTTGCAGTGAGAGGGTAGAGTATCTTTTGTAAGTCATGGAGAAGAAGACTAGTAAGTAATTTTCTTTTATCCTCTGATCGTGGAAGCATTCCAGAAGACTTAAGGTTATTAAAAAGCTGTACAGTAAAACCTTGGATTGCAAGCATAATTTGTTCCGGAAACATGCTTGTAATACAAAGCAATTGTATATCAAAGCAAATTTCCCCATAAGGTCCAATGTAAATAAGGTTAATCCATTCTGTAACTTTTTTTAAATCACAAAAATTTGAAGTGGGCATGCTCAGGGGTGGAGGTGGGTGCACTTGGGGAGAGGCAGGTATGATTGTGGGCGCACTGGGGGGAGGCGGGCACGATTGTGGGTGCGTTCGGGGGAGGCAGGCATGATCGCGGGCGCACTGGAGTGGGGGGAAGACTATACTGTACTCACACACGCAGTGAGAGAGAGAAGAACTGGCGCTCAGTTGTGATGTGATGCTCAGCAGGCAAACCACACGTAATACTCATATTGCAAGACATCGCTCGTTCATCAAGTTAAAATTTAGAAAAAAATTGTGCTCGTCTTGCAAAACACTTGCAGACCAAGTTATTCGCAGTCCAAGGTTTTACTATATATCCAGGGGCCACAACTTTATAGAGAAGCTACCATATGCAATATACTTCTTCCAATGCCATATCTGTTGAAATGAAGCTGTCCGTTTTGTACTTACTGCCTTGAAAAGCTATAAACTTTTTGCACCAGTTGAAATATCCGAACCGTGTGTTACCTGGCGACAGTGACACACGCATTGGTGACTTCCCGATTAGACTTCAGCAACGTGCTCTACGTGAGGCTGCCCTTGAAGATGGTCCAGATACTTCAATTGGTGCAAAATAGAGCTGCCAGGTTACTGACGGGGACTGGGCGTTATGTTCACATGACTCCAGTCCTCCATCAACTCCACTGGCTCCCCAGTGAAGTCCGGGCCCAATTCAAGGTGTTGGTGATGACCTATAAAGCCCTTAACAGCTTGGGTCCTGGTTACTTAAAGGAGCGCTTACGTCCATACGTGCCCTCCCACTCCTTGAGATCAGCGGGAGAGGCCCTTCTCCGGGAACCCTCCGTGAAGGATATTAGGAGGGTAAGTACCCGGAGGAGGGCTTTCTCCGCGGTGGCGCCCAATCTATGGAATGCGCTCCCCAGAGAGGTCCGCCTGGCGCCACTGGCGCCAGGCCAAGACCTTTTTATTTAAACGGCATTTTAATTGTTACTTTATTTATTGAGTTTATATCTTTGGCCAAGGCGTTTCCAATTATATTGTTTTTATATGATTATATGTATTTATTGTTGTAAGCCGCCCCGAGGCTTCGGCGAATGGGGCGGCATAGAAGTTTACTAAATAAATAAATAAACTGTGTTCCTGCTTTGCAAATTCATTCCAGAAGGGAACACTAGAAGGCTGCTGAAGCTACAACCCCCTAATAAAGTACACTGTGGACCTTTTGTAAGCCAAAAAATGCAGCCCCTCCTAACCTCCATACCATCCTGACAGGAAATAAAAATAGATTCAATAGATCTTCATGTGCTAATCCAAATAAAAATGGGAGACCCCACCTTTTTCTTGATTGCACACAGACTTATGACAAAAGGTTGGAAACAAAACTTCTGTGCAATATCAAGATCAAATTAGGAATGAACAAGGGTACAGAGAACCACTTGAAAAATGCAAAGATGTGGGTTAGAAGACAATGCTCTCCAATTCTGAAATCCTGCCAGCTGATGTCATTGTTGTGAGGAAAAAAGTATTTAAGATTGGGAGATGTGGCCACTGGCGCAGAAGAAGTCCTATCAGGACCCAATTAAGATGTCAAACAGGAAACCTATGGTAATTAGATAAAGAACTGGAACCCCAACATCCCAAGACACACATGATCTTTTAAATGTCCTACTGCTTTTGAAAGGCTTGCTTGGAGGAAATCTGGGATAATGTTAGTTTCCTTGTTTCCATGTGGCTAGGCTTGTTTTCAGGATGGCTAGGCTTTCTTCCGATGAAAATTGTTGTGGAGAGAGCTACCAGTCCAGAGACATGTAGAAGAACTATCTTGAGAGTAGCTACTTGGTCTTGAGAAGGGAGCAGTATTCTTTGATTTCTCCTGAGTCCTGGTTCATGAATGAGATGCCCTGTAGTGCATATGCCTTTTATTGTCCAGGACCAAGAGTGGACCTTTCTCCCCTAAGTGGGAAAAGTCCTACACCTCCTTAGAAATGTTTGCTTTTAGCCATTGTAAAACTCAGAATGAGCTCCTGTGCCAATGAAGTTTGGCAGTGATGAAGACAGCCAGCGCATTTTATTCACCTCCTCCTGATACGGTAAGGTTCTGCAATGTGGCATGGGCAGTCCCACTGCCATTGTCTCCCTCCAAAATGGGAAAAAAAACTTCTGCTACCAGATTGTCTGGTGCCTGAGAAACTACCATCCTGGAATGTGATTAAATACTGAGAATAGGAAGGAGTTCATTTCTGTCCTCTGTATGTATGCAGATGTGGTGGCTGTTGTTTTTGTGGTGGGGGGGCTATATTCCTAATTGACACTTGTAAGCCACTTCAACAAGTTTTTGATGCAAAGGATATCCATCTTCAAAATAAAAGAGGCTATGAAGACTAACTGAGACACTCGATTCCATGGAATTATATGCAGCTGATTCTTCTGAAGGGAACAAGGAGATGCAGCCAAAACCTATTGGGCAAGTATTTCTGGCAGTGAAGGGCCCTGTCCTAACTGAGGTGTGAGAAAAAAAGCAGCTCTTTTCTTTTCTAAGATAAAATGCTGAGCTTCTGAGAGCTAGCCAACAACTGTGCTTCTGCCACTAGGCAAGGCCAGCCTGGAAGCATGGCAGGAAAGTCCTTCCCCTTTAAAGGAACAACTATGCTATTGGGCCTTGCATCCTGACCAATTGTGTAAATGCACAGATGTCCAGTCAAAGAACTACAGTTATGTGTAAGCAACCTGTCTTTCTTCTCATGGCTTCCATATATCACACACAGGGGCTTATGGGTGAGTAAAAACTTGGCTGACTTGCTGGTGGTGGGCTGGTGTCATTACTACAGCAAAGGACAGAGAGCTGCTTGACTGAAAGAACAGTTAACACAGGAGCATTCAGCCAGTTTGTTGTGCTGGTTAAATGTAGACAGGTTCTATCTTGTGGTGGAATGACACAGATCTGGTAAGAAGACACCTCTCACAAAGTGAACAGAGACAGCCATTCCTCGTGTCAACTGCACTCTTGATGGATCTGAGAGTTCCAGTCCAAACAAATCATAGGATTACTTTATACCCTGAACAATACAAGGCACTAACTGCTCTGATGAAATATGCAATACTTTTTTCTTGCCTCCCCAACATAAAGGTCTAGAGATCTTACAGAAAGACCCCATCCTAGAATTACAGGATGCCAGAGCTCATCTCATGTTAAGAGAAAGAATGGCTAACTCCACTGGTGAGGTGGGGGAGGCAAAGAAAGCAGGCCAGATAATGTCCTGACTCAGGTGAAATTCAGAAACAACATAAGGCAGAAAAATCCAGTCAGAACAGAGCACAACCTTCTCCAGATGGAGGATCATGTAAGGGGCATCCATCCCTAGAGCACAAAGTATATTGGAACTTTGAGCCAATATAATAACAAAAGAAACATAGAACGATAGTCACTTGAGGGTCCCGAGGAGAGAAAGGGACTCCAATAGCTGTGTTGGTCATTTTTATTTACCAATGTAGCAAATTCTTGACCTGTGGAGGAAGATGGAACATAGTATGGCGTGACTGTATCATTGGATTGAAGGACTCCAGGAACCAGAGCTGGAGAGGTCTCCTGAAGAGACGTGCCAGCGGAACAAATGGGATTGCCACAGACATGAGTCCTAACATGTGTTGGGTCAATTTTGCAGTTGGCATGGAGGTATTGCTCAGGGACCTGACCTCTCTGGACTTGGTACGGAGTCTGTCCTGAGAGAGGAAGGCTTTCACTGGCACGGACTCGAGTCTGGCTCCAATGAGGTCTATCCAATGGGAAGAAGAAAGGTGAGATTTAGTTGTGTTAATGTAAAGTCCCAAACTGGAAAGGAGGGAACAAGTTAGCCAAGTCACCTTGATGGAAGCTTCACGTGAGTGAGCTAAAATAAGCCAGTGATCTAAGTAAGGGTATACATGGACATCTTGGAGGCGGAGAAATGCACAGACCACCAATATGCATTTGGTAAATACTCTGGGTGCTGTTGCTAGCCCAAAGGGAAGAACAGCAAATTGGAAATGTTTATTGTTTATCTGAAAGCGGCGAAAGAGTCTATAGGATTCCTCAATTGTAATATGAAAATAGGCATCTTTTAAGTCAACGGATGTGAACTATGCACCTTCAGAGAGTAAAGGAAGGATGGTTTGGAGGAGAGCAGACAAGCTCTCCTGAGCCTCTTCCAGTCTCCCCTCTGCCCTCCCCTTCCAAAATGTCTTTGTTAGCAAAAATGCAAAGTAGGGAGAAAGGATAAGACCCTGCTCAGGCTGATCATAAGCTCCCAAATTCAGGGGGTTACAGTTATTGAGGACACAGCCCATAGGACTGCATGCTTTGTGAGGGTTTTTAATAGCTTTTAATTTGTATCACAAACCACCTTCAGATACATACTATGGAGCAATATGCACATTCTAAATAAGTTAATGAATACATTATAAAGCCACTAGTATGGAGATTCTTTTATGATCACACTCATGCACTAAAAGTTTCTGTATAGTCTTCAGTGCCTGATCCTGCCTAATCTTGGAAGCTATGCAAGTCCAAGCAATACAAAGACTGGCCTTGAACCCAGCCCTCCAGTACAAAAGAGACTGCTGCTGAGAAAAGAGTTGTATAGAGCTCTGCTTAACTGGAATCTGTCAAATTGTTTGCCCATTATACTTGGCAGGAAATGATCTTGGGAATGGCAAAGTAACAATAAGTGTGAGATGACTCTGAAATAGAAAACAGCAGCAGATGTCTAATTAAATGTCTTCACAGATATCTTGGGGTTGAATTTATTGACAGGTAATATCAAAAAGTATCCTCAGCAATTTTTCTGAGAACTAAGTTGAGTCAAAGTTTCCTAATAAAATAGTGAGCTGTGTAAAACTCTATTCAAATGCTCTGTTTACCACTGGAAACAGCTTAAACAGGTTATACTTTAATAGCATTAGATGGAGAATTCCTTGCAGTTTAGAAAATGAGAACACACAGTTTACTCTATAATCACCATTTCAAAACAACATCCTCTGGTAATCTCACTCTGTCTCTTCAACCAGAATCCCCAAAACTCTTAAGTTCGCAGAATTAACAATGCACTCCTATGCTGGTTCGTGCAGAAAAAAGCCCCACTGAACTCAATAAAAGTTACTTCCAGGTAAGAGGGCACAGGATCGGACTCTCTTTTTAAAAAATGAAATTGTTAGTCTTCAGAAATATTATGTTATTCCTCCAATATACTTGATTGCTTAGTATATAGTCAGTTAGTATACAGTCAGTTTTCGTATATATTTCCTACAATATCTAACATGAGCCTAAATCAAACAGTTTGATGATAAAACTGCCAAGGTTTCTAGAGCTATTTTCATATTTTGAAGATGGCAATAGTGATCTAATACCAATTACTTGATTTTACCAAATTACAGCTGAATTCTAAAGCAAATGGAAGGGCTTTGTAACATTGCAAAACCATCTCTTAATTTTGGAGAGATATCAAGAATATTTTTTTCTGGTCCCCTTATCAGTTTTCATTTTCAAACACTTCATGATGGTTTACTTTCACAGACCAAACAAAGGGACAATGACCTTTTACCACACTCCATTTTCTCTTAACTACCCAAATAATGGTTTCAAAACCAAGATAAATGGAAGATGGCTTCTCGGGTAAAATAGTACTTTTCAAATACTTGAATGGCTGTCACACAGGTGACGGCCAGGCTCTCTTTTCAGCCATGCCAAAGTGCAGGACACAATATAACAGGCTCAAGTTACAGGAAGCCAGGTTCCAGCTGGACATCAAGAAAATTTTCCTGTCAGAGCAGTATAGCGGTGGAACCAATTACCTAGAGAGGAAGTGGGCTCTCCCACACTGAAGGCAGCTAGACAGTCATCTGTCAAGGATCCTTTAACTTGGAGTCCTACACTGAGCAGGGAGTTGGACTCAATGGCCCCTTACAGACTTGTATGCCTCTTCTAACTCTACAATTCTATGTTTCTATGATATTCAAAATGGTGGAGATTTTAGAAATCTTGCTGTTAAATACCGGTAAATGCCTTGCATTTCATCTGTTTCTATGGCAGCATCATCACAGAGGGCGCAGAAATAATGGTAACTTCTGCGACAGTTTTTTATCTCACAGCCAACAGTGGCTCCTTTCTTGCGACAGAAATTGCACATCTGCAACAAAAAGGATTGTAACCATTTCAACAGTATAGTCATGCTACTCTCTCACAGCAAAAACATCATAAAGACTATTCTGCAATTGGTGCAACCAGCAAGGCAGCACTGTTCCACAGTTTTTAGAAAATTCTGTCTAAATTCTGTGGCACCTTAAAGACTAATGTATTTAGTCTAACATAAGCTTGCATGGCATAGGTTTTTCTGCACCTGAAATTCATGAAAGTTTATGCCAGAAAAAAATAGGATTGTGAGGCTTTAAGCAAATGTATACCAAATTTCTATCCAGCTTTCTAAGCCACGGTTTAGGAAGCTGGAAACAAGCATTAGGCCCATGCATCCACCGCTGTCTTGTGGATCACCCCCATATTCTACACATATTTTACACTGCTGGAATAAAAACACAGTTACCCATTTTGCACATAATGGGGAATTGTGGATTCCTGTATTTACAAACCAGTATGGCAGTTCTGGATTTCATATTCCAGTTAACAGAAGAACACTGAAGCACAACAGGCCCATCATTTCTGGACAGCTGTTATTGCAAAAGGGTCAAACTGGCAAGTGTGCTTGAGTGCTGTTTGTGTTGACAGCCTCCCTGAGTGGAGTGTCCTGAAAATTTATATTTTTCAGTTCAATTCAATAAACCCCAAGCCTCTAGAAGCTGAAATGCTTCACAGACATTTTCAGATTAGGTGCTCCTAATCGTTGTTTTTCTCTGTAAATATTTTCTGGTTGTACTGAGCCTTTTTACTATCCTGGACTAAACTAATAAGTGCCAGGATTTCCTGAGATTAAAATTTAGATTGTTTGAAATAGAAAAATAATAATTTTGAAAAGTGACACCATTTGGAATGCTTTCATTTTTTAAAATCATGATCATTTAAGGGCCTACAATTCCCTTAAATATATTGGGCAATGCTTTCCCTCAGTTATACTCAACTGGATTATTACAAATATCTGTTAAATCTTGGATAATTCTGTGGTACTTTAACCCAAGAAAACAGGGTTATTTCTTAATTAAATACAATTAACAATAGTATGGCCTAAGAGCTTTGACTTATTCTGGTTCACCTTGGATAACAGTTCCATATTCTGAATTTCCCTGATGAGGACCCTGTGTTGGGGAGGGTTATGGCAACACTGTATGTAAACAAATCAGTTTTATGGCTCTTATTCTTACTAAACTCTCAGTACTATTGTGGTGTGTATTAAAGGGTGACAAAAAGCACTTTTATTCAAAATGGGAGGGAAAGCAAACCATTTCTTTACATTGCTGCTTCCTAATTAGAGGTCCAATTAGGAGGCAAATTAACATGGCATGAATATGAAAGGAACTATTTTAACTCATCTGTATAATTTGCTGTTATAGGCAGTTTGTTATAAAATCAAGAAGAGTGGGTATCTCACCAGCCTCTTTCCTCTCTTTATTTCACTCACTACTGAAGTCACATCGAACCTGATATCAAGATTCTCAGGGTTATGTTCTTCAGATTCCACAAATCCTGAGGAATATAACTATAAATAAAAACAGAAATAAGACAAGCATTTAAAAATAGGCAATTCCAAAATGGAATGGTAAGGAACAGCAACAAGGATAAACAGGAGATAATTCAATTTGCCCAATGTTAGGAGGTTCTTCTGTGCATTCACGAACAGCCACTCTTAGCTACTGATAGCCCACATTCTATATTAACAAATTCTGTTTCATAATAAGCACAAGTTGCTTGCTGTTCCACCTTCCGAGAAGACTCAAGAAATGTTTAAGACCCTCTACCTAAACTGACATGATGCAACAGAAAAGGATATTAAAACAACCTCACACAGGCAATCTTTCATCAGTTTATCCTTCCTATGGAATCTAACACACCTAAAATCCATCGCATTTCCTCCTCAGTTTCTCTTTGCCTGCATGGAAAACCACTCACCTTCAGCAGCTCAGTGCTGCTCCCTCCTTTTAAAACATCATTGTAAATTCAAGCACACTTTAAGATCTCTGTTAAAAATCAATGTTTCTTTCAGTGACCACTGTGAAATTGAACAGTACAGCTAACTTCTCTAGGAACACACTTCACCCACATCTGAGGCACTTCTAGACTTCCATAAACATGTTCTTTGATTATATAAAATATGTCTCTAGAGATTTGCATCAACAAGCCCTTGATAATGTGAAATGGGTGACGGCCAGTTGTTACTCTAACCAGTGAAATTTGTATTAACATCCTCTCTGGATAAGCCCTGAAGGCACAATTATTGCAGTTTTCACTGCCATCTACATTTCACATAAAAAGTTCCTCAGAAGTTTATGGATGGCAGAAGCAGTTTTTCAAATACAAAGACACAGTACAGATAGCACATTAATTGCCTACAAGCTTCCCATCTGTTTAACTTGCAACTCTATATTGTTTCTTACAGAAGTGATCAAAAATGCATGCACTTCTCACCCTAAAATATCCTACTGCTCAGGAATGTATGCAAGAATAAATAATCAGTGCGCTAATAAAATACAGAATAGTCTGTAAAAATTAAAAGATGACAAACATCAGGAAGAATTGCTCCTAACATCAGATGTTCATAACCCCTTTGTGATTTGTGGGTGAATGGGCTAGGGTTAAATTTTAGGGCCAAAACAAAGGGTTAGTAATCTATAACTGTTGCCTTTTGAGTTAGTTCTTTACGTAGCAGAAATCTGCTACAGGAATGCATCTTGTGTAGGCACCATGGACAGAATTTACTAAAACCTCTGGAATATTAGCAGTGCTGCCTTGCTGGATGCACCACGTGCACAGTACTTTCCACTCGCCTGTCTTTTGACCACTACAGAGAAGATTTTCAACAGTGATCCTTTGGACAATCTCCTGTTGAGTGGGATGAAGGGCAGGATATGAGACTGTAAGCAACTGCATAAAGAACAATGACTATAATTAAGCAACACAGTATTCTTCTTCGTGTTTCTTGTGCACTGCCAAAAAAGAGTGTATGAAACAGTTGAATAAACATAGAAACAGAGTGATTCAGAAGGGATCTCCTGGGCCATCTAGTCTGACCCCCAGTCAGTTCTGTTCATGAGATGCCTCACAACATAAAGTTCACTTTATAATCTTAAATTCACAACTGATAGATCATTCTCTTTTTAAAAAGTTGAAGAGATATTCTGAAGCTTCTATATATTTTTTAACCAGATAGATAGAAAAATTAACTTTAATTGACATGCTGATGCTGTGGTCTTAATACCATAGCTACCTTTTTCTAAAATGGCAGACATGTACAGTATTTCTGCGTATGGGATAACTTATTAATGTGTACAGACAGTGAATCTTGTGGCAATATGTAGGTTTTAAAGGTGCTTCCAGATAGAGATACCTGGCGTTGTCAATGAGAAGGCACTTTTAGCTATTTTTTTACATAGACGTTTAAACCCCACCCTTCTAATGCATATGCATTATTTGGTGTGGATTATAACAGTTAAAATGCTGGAAGGGTTACAACAGTTCTTACACGATCAATTATCTGCAGAGGAAGGAATGGGAAAACACAGGAAAGTTACTAATATATGATAATGTATTCTGAATCCCTGTAAAATTTAGTGGATAAGGCAGGACAACAGCATTATAACATCCTCATCTGGAAGCACCCTGAGTCAAGAAGGCCAGAAGAACTAGTTATCTGATGACAATGAAGAGTACAGAAGCAATGCTCAAATAATATATTTCTGATGAACAAATGCAAATGTTAATTTAGGCTTGCTGTATAAGGTATATTGCAATGGTTTTTCACACTTGCCTAAGTGTGAACCTCTTGCATTTTCATGGTCTTGTGTGAGATGCTTTGCACCCACACATGGTCAACAGTTCTTCCTGCAATGGGTGGCAGTTGTTCTTTCCAACTGCAGGCCAACACATCTTTGCCATAGAACAGTTGTGTTTCAGGTGAGAGGATAACTCTTTGATAGCAAGGAATGCTCTCTGGATACGCGCTGTGCGGAGCTGAAATTTAGTGGCAGGTCAACAAAAGATGTGTTCAAGGTTCTGTACAAAGCAAACCTCACTTCTTCAAATCAGTTTACTTTTGTACACTCTGCATACTTTTCAGCATTTGCAGTTCCTGACATTTTGCCCTCAACTGTTCTGGTTTGGTCATACACAAGCACCAATCAAACAATTCTATCCTAAACCACTTGCAAACCATAGAAACATAAAAAGTTAAAGCAAAAGTAAGTATGTCCAAAAATAATAAAATTTTAATCCAAATATCAATAGCTCACTCAAAATTAAAACAATTAGTAGTCACAAATGCTCATCAATACAATATAAATATAGGCTGTACATATGCACAATATGAATATTTCAAACATACTTCAACCAACCTAATCCTCTTCAGTGGCAGAAAAGAGAAACAATTACTGCCCTTACTAAAAAAAAATGAGCATTGTACTTTAATTCCTCTAAGGAATCTGAAAGATAAAATACACAGATATACCTGAGATATATCTTAAATAACAAATAACCATACTTAAATAATAAATATATGCTAATAAAAATAATTTACCTCTACTTGTTATGCATAAGAAAATGAGATCCATACCCTAACACTAATCATTCAACTGGTAATGGCAAAAAGTGAGAAAAACATTCCCTTACAAGTTCTGAAAGATTAAAAAAATCTCTGTACTAATTTTGACAATGCTCTCCCAGTTATATCTAACATAAGACTAAATCATGATATAAAATTTAGTACAAAGAAACCAGAGAGTAACCAGAGTGGGGAGGGGGAGAACCTAGAGCATTCTTACAAAAGAGACTGAGCCCTTCCACTTCTTAAGCAAACCTGGGAAAAAATGATGTTCTTCATAGCTTTCTGAAAGCTTAGCACACTAAATAACAGAATTGGGGTTAGATACTACGTATGATGATTTGCTGCTGTGAACTGCACTGCTAGCTATATTCAGGTCCTGATCAGAAATCAGTGCAGGTGTATTATCCAATCAGTTTGGAAGGAATATTAGGTCTGTAATTATCTATTACTGGGTAAGTTGTTTACAGTGCACTAGAAATGGAGCCAAAGATAAAGTAGGACCAAGTACCAAGGTGGGAGTTGCAGATTTCATTAACAGCCCTCCAACATTTCCTCCCATGATTTGTGCACTGTTTGCATCTCCTTTGGAGACCCAAAATACCTGTTCTGACAAAGGAGCACTAGCAGCTGCTCAGTTCTGCCTGGATGTATCAGCAGTCAGCATGATCACTGGAGCCTGGGGCATTGGCAAAATCTCTTGGAACCATTTCAGCCTGGGGATTTGCTGAGGCCAAGGAAGCCTTGCTCATGTTTTTGGCAGACTGTGAAGGATCAGAAGGGATTTCTCTAGCCACAGGGCTACATCTTCATTCAAATCAAGCTAATAAGGCTCCAAAATCTGTGAGAACTAGAGGAAATGCTTCTATGTACTACATTGAAAGAAAACTTGCTGGAAAATTTCCCCAAAGCTGATTTTGAGGGCTTGTAGATAATAGACTTGGCATGAACCTGAGACAAAGGACCTCACAATCAAGGACAGAACCTTGCTCAAGGACAAGTTTTGGTGAAGAAATTCATTGGTTCAGAGCGCGAAGGTTTAGCGAATGAAGATCTGGGTCCTTGTAGTCAAAAGATTTGTCTGCAGACATCACTGAAGGAGCAGATCATTACAGCCAAGAAAATGGAAAAGGAGTTACAATCTGGAAAGGCAGGATGTTAATCAGAAAATAGGAAAGTTTTGTGGGAAGTGTTGCTTGGTGAGATTTGCACTCACAATGCTTACTCCCTTCTTCAGGGATGATGGACCTATTATGATGGTCTGCTCTCAAAAGATGATGAAACTGGATCAATTTCCAAGGCTCCTCAGGGAATTTCCAGTTGGGATGACTTCTGCTGAAGTCCTTACCATTCTGTGCTGGTACTTGGGTGATTGAACCAATTGCGCCATCCACCAAATAGAGACCTCTCAGTCCCTGGTTTACCTCCTTTAAAGAAACAGCTAGAATGAGTGCAACCAAGTACATTCCGATAGTTAGAATATGAGTGCAGCTAAGTGAACTCAATTAGCTATTAGTTAAAGGTCAGCATTGAGCCTACTTTGTGGCAGGGATGGCAGGAAAGAAGCAATAATACTCTGCCACTATTGTTTGGGACTTTAAAGTTCATAGCCAACATGTTTAATTATGCTCAAAAATGGATGGCTGCTTGCACACTGGTGAGATATGTCCTTTATTGCTGGTCTTAGCTGGTATCCTAGAAGCTGAGTTAGGTGCAAACTGAAGTTCCTGAGAACTCTTCAAGTACAGTCCATGAACATCACATATTGATACTACAGTCCAGAAGATACCAGGGCATGGAGATCTATAAACAGGTCTTTGCTGAATAAATGCACCTCGTATCTTGTCCTGATCCGCTGATAAGCAGTAAATCCTCATCCAAAGCAGGTTAAGTACTATCTCCCAGATCAGACAAACCACCTTCCAACAGAATGTCTGAACTATGTA